GTGTATATAAATTTGAAAGATAGTTGAACGGGCTAAGACAGAGAGAAAGAAAATTGAAATGTGCGTATAAAAAATGTCGTTTGTAAGCAAAGTGGAACGATGTTGCTGAGACTTTCAGTTGGAAAAAAAAATACTCCACTAAATTTACATTAGTTAGTACAAATGCATACATCCATGCATGCATTTGGGCTTTGAAATGGATATATAACATATAAAGACCGAAATGTGCATGGGACACGTTGTTAGAGATGGGCATGGAAGTGTCAACGGCACGTAGTTGGTGTCATCTGAGAAGGTGTCGCCTGATTAATGGAATCTTGCTATGACGTCATGCCTCACTCACGTTTGAATGTAAAACATGTTCGCTACTTAAAAGAAATCAATATTCATTCTAACATGAAATTTTTCCTATCATTAAAATGTTCTAATGGACTCATTTTCATAATAAGAGGTTTTCATCAAAATGCGGAAGCCTTTTCACCTATTAATAAATGTTGCATCAACTTCAGATGAGTTTGCTAAAACTAAATTGTGTTGCAGTAGCAATTGAGTAGTAATTGTAAAACACATTTAAAAATACAAGCGTGATGTTGACAATGGAACTTTGTAATAAAAATTATAAAATAAAAATAATGAATGAAAACAATGAGTGCTGGTGAGACAGCCACCTAAACAAACATTCAGCAACTAATAGCGGGTTTCAACACACGTACACACGCACAAAGGCACACGCACACACGTGAATATTATCAACACACAAGCCGTCATAAAACACACGTGTTGAATTAAATATGCACGTTGCGATGCATTCACATATGAGCATTGTAGAAACATGCGTTCAGAGGCACTTACATATTTAATGATGGAGCTCGTGTTCAAATTTTGCTCTATGTTGACGAACTTGAAATAAAAATCCTGAAACGGAAATGAATTATAAACAAAATGGACAACACATGTTTGCAATGAACGTTACTCATGTATGTCCACACTTTACAGCACAGGCAAACATGGAAACATGCGTACAAACACAAACATCCAACCATGCTAACGTACATTAGCCTATAAAATAACTGGCATGCTTTCGTATTACTAAGTCTACCATGCTGCTGACGTTCAATAGCTGGTTAACGACTTTCAAAATCAATGAAGTTCCATATAAATTAATATCATAAGGGCCTTCCACTCATTGGAAAAGGACTCGATGCAGCTAAATTTATAATTCAACTTTGCCAAACCGGCTGTAGGCCGAATCTTCTTCCTTCCCTACAACAGCTGGTTAGTTGATTCATCTGGCGCTGCTTCTTGATCTAACTCTTTTTCGCTTTTGTGGTAGTCGTCATTTCAGTGGCTATTTCAGCGATAGCAGATAATAAACAGTTTCGCCAATATTATTTTAGAAATGAATTCAAAAATGTGCGACTCCTTCTAAGCGTTGATTGAAAAACGTCCCATGCTCTTTTAGAAGCGCCTACAATAACAATTCATTCTTGACTTTTTTAGGCATTTATTCAATAAAAGACGACATTTAATAAATGTGTTTTAATGAAACAATTAAGCAATTCGCATTCAGCTGAGTGTCCCTCCCAGCCCCCTGCCGTCCCTGACCCCATGCCTGATGAACTTTCAACCTATGCCAACCTGCCTGTCTTAAGAAAATTGGACTGTCCTTGCAGTCTGTTGTGTCTTTTATCTTTAACGTTGAAGCTAAATTGCCGGCTGGTTTGGGAGGCTAGAATGGCCGCATCAGTTCACTGTCCACCAACTCCGACTGCTCTCAGTTGAAGTGCATATTTATTTTTTTCATACATACAAACGTACGCATACATTCATAAATTTTTACTTTTACACACGCACATGCATCAAGAGATACTTACACACGACACATTCACGCAGATGCATGCATACAAAACATCTTCCATCAAACAATGTCGTAATTGATTTCATCGGGCAAACAACAATTTCACTTAAATAAATAAACATAGAAAACAAAAACCACAAGCACACACATACACGCGCGTGCACACGCACCACCAAACTGTGGTGACACACGTTGCAAACAACTCATGACATACCAGTTGTCAGAATTTGACTTCAATCGACTTTGCAACAAGCAACTGTTGATGACCGCCTTACATATATGTATATATAGGGAAAAAATTATATGTGTATGAACATATTTTGTACGTGTGTGCTGACATACACGCTTCATTGAACATTTTTTTACAAAAGGCAAAAAAGTATTTAAGGCGAATGGTTCAATTAATGCATTATCTTCTAAACAATACAATCCAGAGATAAAGCCATCTTAATGCAATAATTGCAACAATTCTTTCCTTGCACAGTAATTTGCCTTTTACATGCATTATTTGTTGTTTTTGTTTGCTGTTGTTGTTTTGTTTGTTGTTGTTTATTTTTTGTTTGCCTTTTTCCTTGTCGCTTATTGTTGTTTTGTGTTGTTTTCTGTCGTAAGACTATTTTTAGTTGCTTTTATACAATTCTCATACAAATGTATCATTCTCTCTTTATAATGTTCATCATATGTTCACGATGTTCATACAGATGTTCACAACCTTCATGCAAAGGTTCGCGATGTTCATAAAAATGTTCACGATGTTCAAATACTAATAAATAATAATACTGTGATAATAATAACAATAATGCAAATGTTCAATATGTTCATACAAGTGTTTACGATGTTCATACAAATGTTCACAATGTTAATACAAATGTTCACAATGTTCGTGCAAATGTATGCATTCACATTTTTTACATAATAATATCGCAAATTTCTGTGGAAAAATACATGGGATATAATTCAAAAGTTAATGATTTTGGTGACATTGGTAGAGGTGATGATGATGATGATGATGATGAGTACGTTGATCATGGAGTGGATGATGATGATGATGATGATGATGGCTTGATGATGATGATGATGGTAGTGGTGGTGGTGGTGATGACGACGGTGAAGATGATGATGATGAAGATGATAACGATGATGATGGTGAAGATGATGGTGATGATGACAATGGTGAATATGATGATGATGATGAAGAGACACGAAAGGTTGGATGCTGTGGATTGCTGTCTGTTTAGTTTGGCGTCGTGGTTGAAAGCAGGTCTTGTCGTCGTGTTGATAGACGGTGTCACGTGACAGGAAGTTGATGGCGAATCATGGAAGGAGTTCTCATGGAGATCATGATAACGAGCTTATTTATTAATTGTGATGATGATGTTGTTGTTGATGATGATGACGTTGTCGTTGTTGTTGATGATGACGTTGTTGTTTTTGATGATGATGTTGTCGTTGTTGATGATGATAGTGTTGTCGATGATGATTATGATGATGTTGTTAATGATAATTATAATGATGTCGTTGTTGTTGTTGTTGATGAAGTTGTTGTTGTTTCCGTTGTGTATTATGTTGCGGATGTTTTTATTTGTGTTGATATTTTAGAAATGATGATATCTACGGAGATTGAAGGTAAATGTTGTTGTTGTTGTTGTTGTTGCTGTTACTGTTGTTTTAATTGTTGTTGATGCATGGTGCATGGTGATGCATGGTGATGCATGGTGCATGGAGTTGCATGGTGCATGGTGATGAAGATGTACATGATGATGCATGGTGCATGATAGTGAAGATGTACTTGATGATCCATGGTGCATGACAATAAAGATTTACATGATGGTGCATGATGCATGGTGATGTAGATTTACACAAAGATAAGAAATATGACGACAGATAAATTAGTATTGTGGTGGATACAATTGAAGCAACAATTTGAAAAGGCAGTGACAATTATGAGGATAAATATGATTAATGACTGTTTCATGAAAAACTATAACTATGTCACATGACGACGATGAAGATGATGATGATGATGACGACGATGATGATGACGATGAGGATGATGATGAGGATAATGATGATGATGACGACGACGTTGTGGAATGTCATTTTAATAAAAAAAATATCATAAAGATAGATTTTAAACGTTTTTTAGCAAGAAAAACACATGAAAATTTAACTAAACTTTTACAAATTTCAGTTTCAATGTATCCTACATTATTTTAATTATTGAGTCTGCAGATGTTCACTAAATCACACAATTGTTTTTTTATTGTTGTTTCTTTATCTCGGATGAATTTATAAGCTGAAAAAATTTGTTAAATATTTATCAATTTATGAAACTAAAAACTTGAAAAAATTTTTATGACTGGGTATTATGCCAATGATGTCTTATTCTTAGCTTCTCACTTTTTAAATTTGGTTTAAAAAAATTCGTCAATGGTTTTTGTTAGATTTGTAGCTGGCTCGCGCAGTTTTTATAATTTTATTTATTCAATTTTTTTTAGTTTTTCTCAGAGGAATCGCCAACAAAGAGACAGTGCACGTGAACACGTGTGGACCAACTCATCAGGGGCATTTAGTGTAATAAGTGAAGATCTCTACACTCAAACAGGGTCACTGGAAAGCAACATTAGGCATCTTAACCGATACACCATGCCACCATGTCGAGATGAAAAAGGATCGATTCTTGGTGCATCTCATGAAGTGCTAATATTGAATATATGATTATTTAATTTCTCGTGTTTGTCAGGTTTCTGTTCCAATTTACTTACACCATCTTTGAATATTTTTATTTTTTATATTCAGTTTTTATAAAAAAATTTTGGAAGCTGTTTTGTGAACATTGGTTTTTCAATTTTTTGTTATTAAATGAAGTTAATCATACCTTATAAAAAAAACTTGTGAACCCACTAAAAAGATATTTCATCTCTCTGTGCAAATTTTCAACGTTTTAGATTTATAAATTCGAATTAATCTTCATCAAAATCATAAAAAAATTAATTTAATTGTAGAATATTTTAAAAATACATTTATATATTGCATCCTCTTAGCATCTGTTATAAAATAGACATATGTTGTCGATATATTTTAATATTAAATATTTAATATTATATTTTATGAAAATTTTAAACCTGGAATAAGTTTCATACTATAAGACATCATCAACATCTTCAACAGAAAATGAAACAATCTGCACTACCCTGGTTATGTCCATAAAATCTTCAGCCATGTTAAGTGGCAGAAGTTGAAATATAGTAGAACCAGACCCTTAATTTACAGCGTAGGAATTAAAAAAATCCATATGTTATTCAATCATATCTTTCCTCTGAATGAACCAAATTTCCAAAAAACAATTTCCATCTTTTAATTCTTAATTTTTATGAAACTACATCAAAAATTACATTTATTATTATTTGTTTTACACAAAATAAAAAAAGCGCTCATAGGATGGTGTGGAATAAGTTCTCCTTGCGTTGAATGAATTTTAATTTGAAGTTAATTTTTATTATTTGGGCTTAAAATTGAGAAAAAAAAATTTTTTCCAAAGACCCCAAAAACTAAATTTTATTTTTTATTTAAATAATGAACAATTATTAAATATGTGAAGTTCAAAGTGTGTTTGTTAGTTAATTATTTCAAAATTTTGACTTGAAACGCTGCCTATCTTAAATATATTTTAATCGAAATATTTTTCAAGTTAAAAAACACCCCAAACTGGAGGTAAGCTCAATAATTTATAAGTTCATGACGATGACGTTTTGTAATTTTTTAACGTTTTTTTTTGTGTTAATTCTGTAGTCGCCGATGACAAAGCAAGGATTATTCAAACAAACTCCAACAATTTCTTAAAAAAACAGCAATTTCACATTCAGTTGGCATTGGAAAAAAATAGGAACGAATGGAAATTCACTGAAAATCATGAAAAACTGGTTCCTATAAATAAATTAACGGAATAGCGTGAAATAATTACAATTTATTTTTCTACAACAGGCAAATTTGTAATGTATTAAATTAATATAAAGGTTATGTTGGTTCCACGGAAAAAACTAAGAGCTAACTGTCAGCAAGATTTTCGTACGCGAGTGTGTGTATTGGGGAATTTGTTCTAGAAAAACTGTCTTGAGACTTTTTGTCGGCGTTTGTTTTTGGAGAAATTCTATCTAAGGATTTTTATTTCAAGATTCCAATGCTGGTTTATTTATTAAGGCATTAATTTATTCTTTTATACGTTCTTTTATGTATTATCATTTTTATATTTTCCTTTATTCAAATTGTTATTGCTTATACTTGTAAATTCTATCTAAGGATTTTTATTTCAAGATTCCAATGCTGGTTTATTTATTAAGGCATTAATTTATTCTTTTATACGTTCTTTTATGTATTATCATTTTTATATTTTCCTTTATTCAAATTGTTATTGCTTATACTTGCAACCGTACCTCGCATTGAGTTAATTAACGTCATCATCATCAGAACAGCAGTAGAGACATTTTTGAACCTCTCAAAGATGTATATTATATATATATATATATATATATATATATATATATATATATATATGTATATATAGATGTGAATGTGTGCGTGCGTTTGTGCGTGTGTATGTGAGTGTGTGTGTGTGTGCGTAAGTGCGCGTTAGTGCGTGTGTGTGTGTGTATGTGTGTGTGTGTGTGTGTGTATGTGTGTGTGTGAATGGATGACGTGTGTATATGCTGTATATATGATGTACGTTTATATGTGCATATATATAAGTGTTATATACAAGAAGAAAGGCTAATAACTTATGTCGGGGACGAGTTCTTTTTGCAAACGTTTGTTCACTTCCGTTCGTGACATGCGCAGAAACAATTTTCCGGAAGTCGGAAAAACATGTGTGTGTCTATGTACTTGTGTGATGTTGTGTTGGTGTGCTGATGTGATGTTGTGTTGGTGTGCTGATGTTATGTTGTGTTGGTGTTCTGATGTTATGTTGTGTTGGTGTTCTGATGTGATGTTGTGTTGGTGTTCTGATGTGACGTTGTGTTGATGTGCTGATGTGATGTTGTGCTGACCAAAGGTGATGTTTTTTATCATTTTGCTGTGATACGGTATCAAACGTGCGATATCAAATATGATAATGTGATGATTTGATAATGTGTTTATGTGATGACATGATGATGAAATGATTTTGTGTTGATGTGATGTGATAGTTGTATGGAGGTTCGTTATTGAAGGCTGGGTTTAAATTGATGCGCGTGTGTGTCATCATCAAAAAAGAGTGCAGAGCAAAATTTTTATCTTCAATTCTGTTTTCTCAAGAACCAAAATGACAAAATGTTAACTGATGAATGTAATTAATGAACTAATAAATATTATAATAAATTACAGAATATCTTGTTATTGATAATTTTCAAGTGTGAAGGGAACCTGAAGAGAAGTTATTGGAATGAGAGCCTATCAGAAGCATGAGATTATAGGGATAGGGATGATTTGTAATTCATTGAAATTATTTTGCTGACTGCCTCCTGAATATGTTAGTTCAGATTTTGGTAAAAATACTTTTTTCCTGGTTTTGATTGAGTAATAAATAGCAGATGATTTATCGTTCCGAACACCAGCTGAGCTACTGGAAATAATTTTCAAGGTTACATTTGTGGTTGCGGTAGAGTCATGAGTCGCAGAATTATGATGTAAAAAAAAGTTTTGTAAATTTTCAAATATTATCCACTGTCTTCCAGAGAGTTTGATGTTTTTTTGTAAAAATTTAAATAACCGAAGATTCATTAAAACAAAATGAGAGCTATCAGAGATTAATTTGCCTGAAAAGTTCGACACATTCTGTTGAGCTGTTGAAATGTTGAAAATTAAACTTTTTCTTTTGGTCGTAAACTTTATTATTCAATTTAATTTGATTAACATTAATTTAATTAATTTGTATTGTGAATTTAAATTAATTAATGTCCATCGTTTAACTTTGATATACAAATTGATAAATGAAAGGTACAAAAAGATCATCAATTTTTATTTTGATTTCCAATGTAGATCGAGCGAGAGTTCATTCAGGTGTCAGTCAGCACGTGACGCTTCGCTGAACGTCTGAACACGGTTGAACAATTAATTCAAATTGTTTCCAATGATTGTAACGATCGATTTTAATCGAGTTTTAATTTGTCACAGTTTTATTTTTATACGGTTTTATTTCTTTTCCTTCAATTTTTCCAAAACTTCAACTTATGAAAATTAATTTGCTAATTAATTTTTTAATCGACTTTTTCAAATTTCTGGCAAACTCTATGAACCTTCAACTCGAATACACTTTAAGAAGTGCATCCCTCCAAGTATCATGATCACGTGCTGTTCCATGTTGTATAATAAAATATGACTTCATCGTAGTTCACGCACACGTACACAAAATAAACAGAAGACCCATCCACCAACACACACACACACATGCACTCAGACACATGCACACATACACATTCACGGTCAAATAGACGTACTCACCTACATGTACAGAAACACTTACATACACACACACACAAACGAGATTGCGTACACACACACACACAGACATACTCTTACGGCGAAATATTCAAGATACATAAAAGCACACACACAATTAATATTATTATTATTATTCATATATATAGTTTACACTAACAAATTGCACAGTCACATACACACTCACATAAACACGCACATACATACAAACACACCTGTATACGTTCACGCACACATTCACATGCACACGCACATGCACGCTTGCGCTGACTGACTGACACATCCTAACGTATCGTGGCATGAGAGTAGCATTTGAATCTGTCTTGACGATCCTTCGTTCGTTCGTTCATCCGTTCGTTCCATCCTTGCCATTTCATTGAAACTTTTCAAGTTTGTTTGTTCTAGTTATGTGCCTCTTCAGCTTTTGTTCAGCTGTTTGTTTGTTTCAAATGGAATTTATAAATAACGTCTATGGCGTATTGGAACTTTCTTCCTCCTCACGAGTATAGCCCAGCAATTTGTGAGATTATTTATAACATTTCAACATTGGCGATACTCAATCAAAATAACTCAGTAGAGTTCAAATGGGAATTCGAATGCTTGCCTCAGCCAGCTTGAACCTGCCTGCGAGATCTTATCAGTTTATTCCTTCATTTTCCGCCTGCAAATCTTCTTTCTTTCCTCTCTTCCATCTGCCTCTGCCTTGTAATTGAAGTCTCATTCACCTGACCAGACCAGCCAACAAATGAACATTCATCTGACAACATCTATGGAGATGTGGCAAATTTTATTTCATGCTGTGCGTTTTGTTTGTAGATCAAACGTGAACACACAACGTGAACACAAACACACGAACGAACAACATGAATATGAACGCAGAAACAACTTGAACAAAACAACATAAACACAACAACGCAAACAAAACAACATAAGCACAACACAAGTGTAACAAACATGCAACTAAAAAATAAACAAACAAACAATACAAAATTATCATCGAAACATTACAGACAAACAACAAACACAACGACAAGTAGTAGGCATACGAAGTGCATACAATTGGATTTGAACAAATGAAATGATGAAACTATAATAGTTTGCGACAGACAAGCAGACACAAAAAAAGCAACCAGCACCACAAACATACAAAATAACAAACAGGAAAACACATAAGCATACACATGTAAGAATGAACTTCCTTACACGCATAAACATAGACGCAAATATTTATTGTACACATATTATTAAATACACATATGCATACACACATACATGCATACATTCATTCATTCATTCATACATGCATAAACATATATGTGTACAGTAAATGTGCAAAAAAATAGGCGTGCACATCTAATAGCGTGCATGTATACAAGCATACAACACACACACACACACACACACATATATATATACTTCCAAAAAGCGAATACGAACAATCGAACATACACGCAGACATACAAAAACACATACGCGCAATTAATGTGAACATGTGCAAGTATAAAAAAAATACATATATGCACACGTAAAAGCACACTAACGTACGTACACACGCACACACTCACGTACACACACGCACACGCATACAAACACATCTAATCTTGAAACGAAATGTTTGTACGCACCTGCCTGTGTACGCTGCATTGGAAAGCAATTAGTAGAAATAATGGAAGCAAAATATAATCGAATGTTGACAATCCTCATATATATACATATATATATATATATAGATACATATATGTATACATATATCTATATTATATATATACATATATCTATATATACTATATATACTATATATATATATACACATCGTTGATTTTGTGTGAACTTATGTGAGTATGTGCTTTGCCGCATGTGAATGTTGTTTCAAACTGGTCCATAAATAAATACACTCACACACACACGGTATGTTTGTGTGTATGTTTGTGTGTGTGTGTATGTGTGTGTGTGTGTGTGTGTGAGCGATGATTACTTATTTAAAAGTAGAATTGTCGAGATACGACATAAAACCACCAGCAGCACTGACAGAAAATTATTTTAATTTTATTCGAATTCATCTCCACTCCATGATAACTCAAACAGATGAGGGAGGTAGCCTCCGACATGCGTTACAATGGGAACTTGGAAACTGCTTGGACTGCTCTGCTGCCTATGTGTCCACCCGTCTGCTAAGATCATCCAGTTGAACTCTCATGTACATTTCAACAACTTGGACGATATGCTGGATGCTTTGTGACCTTAACGTTGAAAATCTGCCATTATTCTTCTATGATAACCGTTAGGATATGTGTTAGTAGGGCTGGATTATGTGCCTGTGTTCGTGAATGTGCGCGTGTGTATGCATGTGAATGTGCGCGTGTGTATGTGTATGCATGTGAATGTGCGCGTCGTGTTTGCCTGACGATGGAAACTTGGAAACTGCTTGGGCAGCTCTTCTGCCTGCTGTCCACCAGTCGGAGAAACCAGTCACACCCACGTAAGCATTTACACATTCACACGTGCGTGTGAATGTGTACTTGTGTGTGTGCGTGTGAATGTGAGCGTGTGTGCATGTTCATGTGTGTTCATGTTTGTGTGTGTGTGTTGATGTATGTGCGTTTTGGCATTCAGGTGTGAGTTAACACTTACTTTTTCAAGACGTTTGTTAGTGTGAAATTTTCAAATAATTTTTATTTATATTTAAATATTATTGACAAATGTATGAAAATTGAGATATATAATATCATTATACTTTACAAAATAACTTTAAATATCTAGAGAAAAGAACTTTTTCAATTATTATTGCAACATAGGCCTAACCAGTTGCTCTTAAATTTTATTCATCATTCAAGTTGCAATATATACATGTAAATATATACTGAGATGTAATGGCTGCCTGTAAAATAACTTGCAACTGTCACCTTGATGAATACTCGTGGCCCGAAAATTAAATTAAATTGTTAATTTCGAAAGCAACATTTGAAATAACAATACTCTAAATTATTTTTTAACATGCCATCATGGAAATACTCGGACGTTTGTTTGATTACTAAAAGAGAAAAGTTTTTAACCGTTAATTATATGGTTAACTTTCACTTGATAATTCAATTTTCATTCATTTACTTAGAATACGAAGAAAAATATACACGTACACAAACACACACACACACACATACACGTACATTCATCCATACAATCACGCACGCACTTCCATGTATGTATTTAACTACAAATAAATGATAGAATGATTGATGTTACTTGTCATTGCATCTTCTTGAAATGTACATGAAAAATTTTGCTCGGCGCTCTTCTTTGATGATGACAAACGCGTTTGAAGGGAGACACACACGCATTTAACTAGACACAGACGATATAAACTACCTTTCCAGTTACAAACGAACACACGGCTATAAACACAGACGCAGATCCAAGATGTATGTACTGTACACATATCAATGTAACGTATTTATTTTGTCAATATTGTCTCAGAAGCAGCTCGTCCAAGTTTTTTTATAAATTGTTGATCTGAAAATAAATTTAATGGAATTAAAACTAAAACAAATGTAAGTATACATAACATTGACCTTTCCAATACATATTTCACTACCGAATTTACCTGTATGTCAAAAAGAATATATGAATGACAGTACAAAAATACACGCGCGCGCACACACACTCACACGCACACACACACATATATATATATATATGTATATATATATACACATATGTTACATTATATTTTACACATGAACAAGTACCGTAGAGATAATTGTGAACAATTAGATGAGCATGATTGTTCGTACACACACACGCACGCGCACACACGCACACACACATGCACACACAAATTAGCAGTAGCAGCTATTAATTGTACGCTCGTGAACACAGTGGAGTCTTATTAGGAAGTATCGTTCTCATGACAATGTTTTCCTATCAAAGGTTAACATGTCTTTGATGCTAACATCCACAACGTGCTTCATGCTAATTGGATGGGTAACTCTCCTCTTCTCACCTCTCTTACTCCACCATCTTTCTTTCTTTCTCCCGGCCATTTTCTTCTCTTATTTTTTATTCTACTTTTTTCTTTATTTTTTTTTTAAACAATTTTCCTTCATAAAAATGAAATTAGGTGCATCCTTAATAATAAAAGGTACATTCTAGGTGCCTCAGAGTTAAATTGAACCAATTTAGAAGATAACTAAATAAAATGAAATTACAGTTCGTTACAAAAATTACAACCAAGGTAATAATTATAGCGTTCGTTCAGTTAGCGTAATCAAAAAATAATGAATCTTTGTTAAAATAATTGGATAAAAGCAGCTGTATAATATATAATAAAATAATTTTTAATAATAATTTTTATGATGAAATGGAGTAAAAACTAAAAAATAAAGAATGTACATTGAAATGGTCTAATATAGAAAAGCGACGACTCAGAGCAAACTAAGAAAACCAAACAAACAAGGTTTTTTGACTTCTAAACATTGTCAGACTCGATTTTCTTCAGGTAAGAAGGAAGGCAGATCCAAGTTTTTGGAGTGTAAAACCAAAGGTTTTTACAGTTTCTCTTGTTGTTTTCAATCGTTGTTTTAAATTTCCCGCTATTACTGGTTCTGGTTGATTTTGGTTTCTGGAAGTTATCAAAACTGTTTTCAAGTGGTCATCTATCTTATCAATCCGTTAAATTCTTTTGTGTAAACACAGAAAGTTTTGTAACTGTTTATTTCGAAGATGGACAAAAGATTATTGTCTAAAAGGTTGTCATAATTCGTTAGGAAATTTTTAATTAGAAAAAAATTTGTTATCAATTTTTTGAGTGGTGAATTGTTCTTCTAGATTAGTTTTGTTGGCACGACCCCATATTCAATTTAGTTATT